CCCCCCCAAGGTCTGTACTCATTGGAGTCTCTCCCACCTACAACTCACCCTGTCCCTGGCTGTAAGGTGCCCAGAGCCCAGAACTGAAGCAATGCAGGGCCTGTGTGGAGCTCAGCCAGGCTGTGCTTCTCATCCATATCCTTGTTACAATAGAGTGCCACATACTGGGGGGCGGCAGAGCCCTCTGGACACGGGCACCACTCCATGGCCCTCTGTACTCATTGGAGTCTCTCCCACCTACAACTCACCCTGTCCCTGGCTGTAAGGTGCCCAGAGCCCAGAACTGAAGCAATGCAGGGCCTGTGTGGAGCTCAGCCAGGCTGTGCTTCTCATCCATATCCTTGTTACAATAGAGTGCCACATACTGGGGGGCGGCAGAGCCCTCTGGACACGGGCACCACTCCATGGCCCACACTGGGCCACCAACAAAGAAGGACACATCCAGGCGCTCCTCATGGGGCTGCAGGGAGTTGAACCTGCCGGTGGGAAAGGAAGCTGTGAGCACCAAGTGGACCATAAGGCAGGGGGCACTTGTAGCTAAGGGCTCTGCTGACCAGGAAAATATGCAGAGCAAGGCAGAGGAGCAGCATGCAGCCCCAACACTCTGGGTCATAACCAAGCTGTGCTCTAGAGGCAAGAGCCTTACCTAGGCCTGAACCTGCTCTGATGCCCAAGGGACAAAGACAAGGGAAGCCTGCAGGGAGGGACACAGCATGCTACAGGCTCAGATGGCCCCAGTGGCGGCAGCCTTGATTCCCATTAGCACCAGGGGAGGTGGTGTTGGATCTCAGGGACAGAGCCCACTCTGAGAGCTGCCAAGGCCCAGCTCAGGACAGTTTCTAGCAGTGACCATGGGGGCTGGCCCATACCTGTTGATCCGGTACAGGACACCGTCTTCTTCAATACCTTCCCGCTGGATGGAGAAGAGAGGAGACTTCATTTCCCCTGGCAGGTACTGGGCACATTCGCTGAAGGGACAGAAGGAAAGCAATCATCAGCCACTGCCTCCTCTCTCAGGAACCTGACCTGGGAAAAACACCCACCCCAGCCCTTGGCAGCACCCTTCCCTTCTGGCCCAGCCCTCGGCACCCCCCCGTTCCCAGCCCAGCACTTGTCCATGTGGAACTGGTCTGGATCTCCAGCAACATCAGACACCTGCCAAGTACTAAGGCCAGTGTAAGGAATTGCCCTTATACTACACATTCACCCACTCATCCGCTGCAGCCCCAAGGCAGGGGCCATGGCCTGCAAAAGGGCTATTCACTTACCTCTCGGAGAGAAACGTCCACTTGCACATGGAAGGAAGCCAATCAGGGAATTCCCAGGAGGAGTAGTGTTGGTCCCGCCTGAAGAGCACAGGGCATCAGAACCCAAATGCCCCCCACCTGGGCTAGAGGCAGAAGCTGCAGGCTGGTGCATGAACACAATGGGGAATTTGAGCCCAGCCTGGCCAAGTCTGTTCCCACTGAAACTCACCACCCGAGTGATTCTCCCACCCACAGGGCTCCCTGTGTCCCGGGGGTGGGAGTGAGACCCCCAAGGGCTCCTTGCTCCCTCTCAAGTCACATGTACTACAAAGGATCCTACCACCCCAGGCAGGCCCTGCATGACAGGTTGACCCAAAAAGTCCCGGGAGAGACTGCTTGCAGCCCCTCCAGCACATCAGCCTGGCCAGCAGTGCAGGGCACTCAGCCTGCCGTAGCCCCACGGCCAAGCGCTCAAGTCTCAACCGCCACCCTAGACCCAGGAGAGTGGGGCTATACTTACAAGCTGTGGGTGACACTGGGACACTTCCACACAGGGGCCATGATGGAATTGTGGAAGCCATTGGGAGCAAGTCCTCGGCACTGGGGCTTGGCCTTCTGAGCCCAACAAAAGCAAAGTTAGAGCCAGGCTTTAGGTATGCAGCCACGCCAAAGATGCCCCAGCCCAGGCCAGCTCCCTAGAAACCTATGCCCTCCACCCTAGCCAGTCCCCTAACCTCAACCCCATCTCCCACGTCCCCCAACACAGCCTCCACCCAGCCCCTGGGGCCAGAGCCTCTAAACAGCAGGGGGATGCAGCCATCCCACAGAGTCCTTTCCCTCCCTCCCCAGGGCTATGTCTACCATGAGCCCCTGCTTAGCCCACTGGAGCACAAGGGGCTGCTATGGCCTGGAGAAGCATAGCCCCTTGTGAGCAGCTGCAGGGATCAGCAGGAGTGTCCCTGCACCCCCACCCCAGCTAGTGTCAGTCCTAGAACCTCCAACCTAGCTGTGACTAAACAGGAATTTTCCTTTAAGTTGTATGCAAATCTTACTGTTTTGCATGAATGCCATGTGCCTCAGTTTCCTTGTGTCCTGCACCAATCCCTAGGTCAGGTGGTGGGAATAAGGGTGTGGGAGCTTTGCTGAGGCCCTCCCCATGTTATGGTCTGTGCCCTTCATAAGTGGAGGCCCAGGAGGGGGATGTAACCAGAAGCCACAGGAAGCCAGACAAAGGCCAAAAGGAGGAGCAACGGGCATGTCAAAGACCGAGTTGCTGGAAGCGGGGCAGTCTGTGTTTTGGGAGTCAAAGTGGGGGGAGCCTAGGGCGTCTCAACCAAGTCCATCTTGGGGTAAGTCAAACCTCCTGTTTTACAAGGCTAGGTGAGCGTCACTGCTGGCTGCAGAGTTGGGGTGCAGGGCCCTCTGGCTTCCCCAGGAGCCCCACCTGAAGGGGACTTACTGCCAGAAACGCAATATGGAATGGGATGGTGAATACTCTGAGGTTAGACTCAGGAATGTTAAAGCCATGCAGGCTTGGCATGCATGGGTGCTCAGAAAGAGGAGATGCTGCCCCACAGTCCTTGCTGGCTTCTTTGGAAGCAGTTCCAGAGCATCACCCCAATGACTCTGTGACACCAGGGAACTAGAAGAACAGGTTCAATCCAAACCGACACGTGTGGTAGCAAGGGTCGGTAATTACCCTGCCCCAGGCTGGTGCTGTCCTGCCAGAACCCTGAATGGCAGTCAGCCAGCACCAGACCTAAGTTTATAAAAGGGGAAAAAAATAACCTGGACATGTATGGCCCATTTCTGAACTCAGGAAGTGCAAGGTATGTGCTAGTTTGAGAGGGTTCACCAAAGAACCCCAGGCCAACTGAAGGATTGGCAAACCTGTATTAGTGTCATAGGCCAAGCCCTGCACTAACTAGTTAGAGTGCAGGCCAGCTCTCTGGTGTATGCTGATTCCCGCACCCCTGCAAGGCAGTGAGCTTCCTAAGGGCAAGGGCAGGGTGAATGCCACATCTGGGCTGAATGGACAAAGGGGCTCCTGAGAGAGAGCCCCCCCATGAGAACAGAGGCTTTTCTTAGGTGCCACATTCTGCCAGCCTTTCTGAGCCAGAGCTGGGGATCAAAGCAAGGCTGTGTCCCTAGCACAGTTACCCATCTGAAGAGCCACAGTCCCCAGTCTGTTTAGCTCTCCCTCGATGTCAGAGGAAGAGAGATCACACTAAGCTGTGGTGGACAGAGGAACTGGAGGACTGACACCTTAAGTAGCCTCTAGCCCTGGAACTCTGCAGCTACCAAAACTACAGCCCTTGATCCTGAGACAAGCACCCCAGGCCAGGTCTAGTCCCAGAGAGCAGAATGCTGGAAGAGGCTGACAAGACAGCATGGAGCCAACACCTTTCTTTTCAGGAATGTAATTAAAGTATGCTGGAAAATATCAGACTCGCATCTGCTTGTTGAGAGGGGTAGGGGAGTGGGGACTGGTCAGAAAACTCAGGTGAGGGAGTGAAGATTGGGTAGGGGACAACTGGGACATTAGGAAAGGTGGTGAGGGGGCGGGAGAGTGTACCTGTCAGCTCCACGTTCTCCCCTCCTGCGTGCACGTGCCACAGGAGCTGAGGATCCTTTGCCCGCCTTTCCCTGCCTCCCCTATGACCCAGGATCTGGTGTCTAGGTCCCTCTACCAATCTCTAGAGTGTGCTGCAATCAGAGGGAGGGGCTGCCCCCCCCCCCGATATAAGCAGGGGAACAGTCACGCTGAGGATATCCCTGCCACTCCCATGGGACCTGATGGCTTTGGTTCCCTGGTGGGAGAGTTCCACTCCGTGTCCGCATCCTCCCATCTGAGCCAGGATCTGAGCCCTTTGCACTGAACCTGCTTGTAGGGAGGCTCTGGTCAGGATGCTCCCAAGACACATGGCAGGTGCATGAGTTTAGAACACACTTCTGAGGCTGGGATGAGAGCTGAGACTAGATGCGCTTGCTGCACATCACAGGTTTCTGAAGGAGGGGGCATGGAGATGGGATGAATGGAGCCGTGCACACAATGAAGAGCTACTGTCTTTGTTCAGCTAAGACCATCACACTGGAACAGATGGGCCACTACATGCTGCTCAGAGCCTCCTATGTTTTCAGGATTCTCCAGTGCTGGGGATCTGGATTTAGCTGTTAAGCAGCAGATAACTGACTAATCATGTAGTCGATACAATTTGTATTGACTACACAATTAGTCAATAAGGGGAGGGGTCCAGGAGCTACACCCACTGTGGCTCCGCAGTTTAAATGTAGTAGGAGACGGGAATGCAGGCAGCCCGGCTCTTACTGCATTTCAACTGCAGAGCCCCAGGGGAAGCAGGCCAGGGACCCAGCGTGTGCCAGGTCCCAGACCTATTTTCACTGCAGCTCTGCCTTTTAAATATAGTAGAACCGGATGGCTCTTACTCCAGGTTCAACCTCTGTAATCCAGGACTCCCTGGTTTGGCAACATCCATCGTCCAGCAGGACCACAGATGTCCCAGGGCCAGAGTCCCGGTGGAGGGCTGGCAGCTGAGCTCCCTGCTGGCGGGCTGCCCAGCACTATCCCGTGGGGCCAGGAGCTCAGCACTTCCCAGCAGGGCCGCCCCGCGGGGCCAGGAGCCCAGTGTACAGCATAGCAGGGAAGGAGGTGGGGGGACCAACAAGACAGGTGGCAAGGGGGAGCCAGGCAGGAGGCTAGTCCAGGGCTGGGGGAGCCAGTAAAAAGGGAGCCAGATATGACCTTCCCTGGTCTGCCAAAATCCCTCATCTGGTACTGGTCAGACCCTGAGGTTGCCAGACCAGGGAGGTCCAACCTGTGCATTTAAATGGCAGAGGCATAGTGCTCCGGGACTTGGCGTGAACCAGGGCTGCTCAGGCCTGGCTCATGCCAGTTCCCGGACTGCTGCCCCCCCGGTTCCTATAAGCAGGACTCAACAATTAGTGTAATCTACTCGCCCGTGGCAAGTAGATTACAAGATGGCACAGCCACGCAGGGCGGTAAGCGCATGTGCAGCGTACAGAACCGCGCAGCTGGCAAGCAGGGCTTGCCGCCGCTTGGCAAGCCCTGCCTATAAGCCAGCTCCCCCAAGCACTAGCTCCTGCTCCCCCCCATTTGCTGCCTCTGATGCAGAGGCAATGGGGGGGTTAGAGGGAGGAGCAAGAGCGAGTAGTCGACTACTCGCTTACTTCCCTAGATTTAGCAATGGTATTGCTGACTGACTAGTGATTTTGACACTACTGGCTTCTCATGTACTAATAGCTTAAAAGGATGGGAAGCAGAAGAGGGTACACTGGCAATGGTGGTTAGGCAGGGTGGGTTACTTGGAGGACGGCGACAAACCAGTCTTCTCTCATATGCTTAAATCCTTGTAACCACCATGTAATAAAACAGTTACATTTTTGGGCCACAGCCCAGGGCTGGGCTCTCTCTTCCCTACCCTGCTGGAAACTATATACTCTGCAAACGTTTCAAAAGGGGACCCAAGTGCCCAGTCCACTGTAAGAAAGTGCAAGGGGTGAGGACAAGACTTAGGAATCTCAAAGCAGTGGCAAGAACAGTGGTCTGCTATTGATTGCTGGCGATTACCAGCTCTGCCACTGACTGATGAGTGACTTTCCAACTTGCCGTGCCTCAATTTCCCTATCTATTCAATGGAGATAATGATTTTTCCCTCAAAATCTAATGATGAAGAGCCCCATGAAAGACCTAGATTACCTCTTCAATGCCTAGACACAGCAGCATCTGGCCTGTGCACTTAGGTCATATGACAGCTGCCTAAATGAGCGCTAACTCCTACCCACATCATTTCTCCTCCAGATAGAAAAATCCAGGAACTTTATTGACCAAAGTCTTCATGCACACAGGGCTGCAGCTGTGCGGGGGTACGTCTTCCCCTTCTAGAATGGCGAGTTCAGTAAAACTCAAGCTTGAGAGAACCAGGAAAGGTGGGTTATGGGACATGGCTTCACAAGCAGGCTCTGCCCTCTGAGCACTGCCCGAGGAAGTACACTATACATATTGAACTCCGTCTTTGCACTGTGCTGCATGACCCACACCTGCCTCGCTGTCATACATGTGGTTTACTGAAGCGATGTTAGCCTATAGCCATTTAAACAATTAACTGATAAACTAGGCTTATTGGTTAATTCAAACTACATGCAACCTCCCACCCCCTTGCTGCCCCTGTATCAAAGGCAGTGGGGGGAAGCATGAGCTGGATCCTGTCCCCACCCTGCCCTGCTGCCTCCCAGGGGAGATAGCATCATGGGAGGCAGGCAGAAACCAAGTCCCCACAAGCGCTACATCCTATTAAGCCACCTGTCTCGCTCCCCCACCCCGGTGCTGCTGCCTCTGATGGCAACAAAGCCTCCCCAGATGTGGGGCCAGCAACATGTAACTTGCGGTGGGAGAGGCCTCCGTGAGCAGGAACTGCTTCGGTGGGCTAGCCAGAGCAGCCCCTGCCTGTGTGGGCCCCGCTGGGGCAGAAGCTGCTCCAGTCCCTGCCAGTGAACCATCTACATCCCTGCTCTCTAATATTCTCATTAGCGACTTTCACACAAAACCAAGTGAGCTAATAAAGTTTGCTGGTAAAAAGTTGGGAGGCACTGTCAAAGCAGTGGTGAGTCAGGCTATTACATAGGAAAAACTGGGTTGCCTTGACAACCAGAGTGGCAGAAATGGAAGGAAATTCAAAAGGGCAAAGGGTGGCTGTGGAAATTCCATCTCTGGAGATATTTAAGATAAATGTCTAGCAGGGATGGTCTAGACAGTACTGGGTCCTGCCGTGGGGGCAGGGGACTGGACTCAATGACCTCTCAAGGTCCCTTCCAGTCCTAGTATTCTATGATTGTATGAAAGTGAAATAGGATAAACAACAAGAGTTTTTGCGATAAAGTGGGGGCTTAGCAAAGACTTGGTGGTGTGGGTGAATCACAGCATGACTGGGAGCCACTGCAGGAGCCAGGACATATCAGGGGAGACACTACTAGCAGAGATGGGGTATAATAATGTGCTTGTGCAAAGCACGAATAAGATCACACTCAGAACACCACACACAGCTGTGGTCACTTGTGTACAAGATATGAACTCAGATGGCAGCAGGTGCAGAAAAAGGCTGCTTGGCTGATAAGCAGAATGCAGGGCCTGTCTTATGGGAAAATGCTGGCAGAGCTTTGACAGGCTGTGGAGAGCCGACTGGTCTGGAGGAATACAGTGTGGGTAATGTCGAGATGCAGAGAGAGACTGAAGCTAAAGGCCAATGCTGGCACAAGACCAATGGAGACAAGCTTGCCATGAACAAACTGAGGCTGGACAGAAGGTTTTGGATCAGAGATGGGAGGGTCTAGAAAAGCCTTTCAAAAGGAGCTGAGAGCGCAAACTACATGTCTGGCTTTAAGACAGAACTCGACAACCTCATGAAGGAGCTGCCTGCAACCTTAGGGGATTAGTGCCAGGGATGTTAAATTTAGATTAATTGGCTAATCGAATAGTCGATGCAAATCAAATCACCTGTTCAATTAGTTGATAAGGATGCCTATGCATCTGAAGTGTAGCGACAGCCCCAGGGTGCTGCAGGGAGCATAGGGCCAGTGGGGGACTCAAGCAGTCCCCCGCTGGCCTCGGGCTGCATCCGGTGTTTCAAAGAGGTAGCACCGTGGGGAACCCAGGGTCTGGCCCTGGGCTCCACGCAGTCCAGCTGTTTTGAAACACCCCTCCAACCCCGCTGCCTCTTTCTGATAGACTAGTACAGTGTTTCCCAATTTTATGTGCCCACGGAACCCTTTAAAAAAAGAACCCACCAGGGGAAACTGGCCGACTCCCCAAAAAAAACAACCACCACAATGCCAGCTCGCTCCTAAGACCCTGGCGGCCAGTAGCCACTTGAAAGTGGCAGCCCCGGGCCATCACCCAGCTCACCTGCCCCTAAGACCGGCTTGGGGGAAGGGGGAGGGATCAGGTTCTCACAGAATCCATACTTTCACTTTGCAGAACCCCCAGGGTTCCGCAGAGCACTATTTGGGAAACACTGGAGGAGTAGTTTATATCCCTACCAGGCGCTCCCTGCCAGGCCTTGGCCCTGTATTCAAGCAGGAAGTTAGCACCACTTTAAGCTAGCAGCTCTGTCTCCATTTCCCTCCATGCTGTATTCTAGAGCGCTCTCCCCCTGCACCCAAAACAGACTGCTTCCTTCCCCCACACCTATGATCTATACCAGAGCTACTCAACTATGGAAGTCCAGGGGACAATGATACTCACAGAACATGCTGAAGGCCGCAACTTAAGAGTGGTTGCATATACATGCAAATATCTTCTCTCACACAATGCCCCAGAGCTCTCAGCACCTCTTCCCTAGGTGTTCCAGCCAGTTCACTTGTGTCTTTTAATGCTCACCCCTCCTAGGGGACACCTTGCTGTTGTGGAGCATGTTCCTAGTGGAGGCCATGTTCAAAGGATCCCACCTGTGGGCTGCGTGTTGAGCCCCGCGTAAACTCAAACCACACCATGGGCTGCAATCTAAGGGTCATGTGTTGAGTACCCCTGCTCTATACTCCCAGAGTAAGGGTGTCCCCATTGGGCTCAAAGCTCAAAAGCTAGGCCTCCTTCCCACTCTGCTCCTCACACAGAGGAACTCACACCAAGGCTCAGTGGCCAGCCTGCCTGATACAGACATAAACCCAGGCTGGTACGACAAGGAGGCAAACTGAAGAGGCTGATGTTACCCCGGCTGATGACATCCTTGGGGTGTGCCCCCGGACAGCGTCTGGCTCTGACTCCGAGACCTCACTGAGCAGGATGTCGCTCTCCTCCTCCTCTTCCGCCTGCAGCAGCACCTCCTCTGAGGGCACAAAATCCACATCCTGGGAGGGGTCGTCATCATCCGGCTCCTCTTTCCTTCTCCTGCTCCGGCGCTTCTTCCGCGAGCTATCGGACTCTGGCTCCTGAGGACCCACATTGGGAGGCAGGGGATGGTACACTGACGTCAGCTCCTCGGCCAGTTCCTGCAGGTAAAGCAAGGCCCTAGGGGCACCAAAGGCATCAGTGGTAAAGCGCTGCCCTGCCCACTCAGGGCATCTCCCTGGGTTACAGAACTCAGGCCTTGTGCTGTGGGAAGGAGCACATCTGCCATTGGTGCCCAGAGGGACCAGGCTGCACTAGAATTGAAGACCCAAACCTTCTCCAAATTCCCTCTGCACCTGCCCAATCCTGCATTCTAGAGATATGGCTGCTCTCTCTGGGGAAAGCACACACTGGCTTCTCCCTCCCCCGCTACCCAGGAACTCCAAGAGAGCCCCACAACACTGCTCTAAGTCAGCCAGGGCCACTAGAGACTGGAGGCACCACTGCACAGCTTCACCCACCTCCTGCTATATGTGGTCCCTTAGGACACAGTAGCCCACCCAACTGTGGTGAAAGCTGCATAAACACAGGACAAATTAGTGACTCCTGTCCCCCAAAGGCACTCTTACACTGACACTAGCACTGTTGTTGCTAGAGATGAAAGTAAGGGGATGAACGCCCAGTGAGTTGCTCAAGCAGGAACCAGCTGGGTTGCTTGAGCCAACTGAGGTGCTCTGCTCTGCTGCAAAAGCAGGACCCAGGCTGGCAAGCAGCGAGGGAGTGGCTGGAGCAGCCTTATAAAAAGGCAGCCAGAGCTAACGCACAGAGAGTAACGAACACGACAGCAGCCAACAGAGGAGTTTGCCTGGGAAACATCTAAAAGGAGCTCAGGTAAGTGCAGCTTTTGAGGGGCTGTGTTGTGAGCTGGTGGGGTGAGTATCAAAGTATTTGTCTGTCTGTGAGCATTTGACTGACTGTGTTTGGCGGTTTGAAAGTTTGAAAAGTGTGAATTGGGAGTGCTTTGTTCCAGGTGGGCCTTCAGTGGCTGATTGCATTAGAGGCAAGACTTTGAGCCCAGCCTAGCCTCAGCCTTATAAAAAGGCAGCCAGAGCGAACACAGAGAGCAGTCAACAGGGAAGTTTGCCTGGGAATTCGCCCCATAGTGTTTGGTGGTCTTTTCCTTAAATTTGTATTTTTGTCTCTTCTGCCCTTCAAGGAATCATTAAAAACATCTGAGGACTGTCTTAGAAGGAAGGCAGGTATAACAGCAGACCCATCACCGTCTATTACATGCACAGCATGTGACATGTTTGTCTTCCTCCCGGAAGATAGAAGGGATTTCATCTGCATTAAGTGCAAGCTGGTAGCCATTTTTGAAGAAAAAATTAGAAGGACTTGAGCCCTGAGTATCAACCCTACATTCCATCAGAGAAAAAGGCAGCATTTAATCCTGAAGGCACAGCAGGCTGAAGAGCCAATGAGGGCAGTACAAGACAAGGAAGAAAACTGGCAGCATGTAACCACTAGGAGAAGGCGGCCAACTCAGGTATCCCCCATTCCTGTAGAGATAAGTAACCGCTTTCAGGCTTTCTGCACAGGCAGTACGGTGGAGAATGCTTTGGCAGGGACCTCTCAGGGAAGAAATCAGAAGGAGACCCCATCCACAGGAAGGCATGGGATGAGTAGTCCTAGGGGTGGGAGTCCCACGACCACCACCCCCAAAAGAAAAAGATGGGTGGTGGTGGTCAGGGACTCCCTCCTAAGAGGGACTAAGTCATCCATCTGCCATCCAGACCTGGAATTTCAAGAACCACAGGAAGGCATGGGATGAGTAGTCCTAGGGGTGGGAGTCCCACGACCACCACCCCCAAAAGAAAAAGATGGGTGGTGGTGGTCAGGGACTCCCTCCTAAGAGGGACTAAGTCATCCATCTGCCATCCAGACCTGGAATTTCAAGAAGTGTTCTGCTTACCAGGAGCTCGAATTCAGGATGTGACCGAGAGTCTTCCAAAACTGATCAAACCTTCGGATCGCTACCCTTCCTGCTTCTCCATGTGGGAGCTAACGATAAGGTCAAGAATGGCCTTGAGCGGGTCACTGCAGATTATGTTGCGCTGGGAAGAAGGATCAAGGAATTTGAAGCGCAAGTGGTGTTCCCGTCCATCCTCTCTGTGGAAGGAAAAGGTCCAGGTAGGGATCGTCAAATTGAGCAAGAAAATGCGTGGTTGTGCAAGTGGTATTGGAGACAGGGCTTTGGTTTCTTTGACCATGGGATTCTGTTCTGGGCACAGGGACTGTTAGGAAGAGATGGGATCCACCTAACCAAGAGAGGAAAGAGCATCTTCGTGGGCAGTCTTGCAAACCTAGTGAGGAAGGCTTTAAACTAGGTTCATTGGGGGACAGTGACCAAAGCCCTGAGGTAAGTGAGGAAGTAGGATACCGGGAAGAAACATAAGGAGGACCCCTGATTTGAACGGAGAGAGTAGGGCGATCAATTGGTTATCTAAGATGTTTGTACACAAATGCAAGAAACCTGGGAAACAAACTGGAAGAAATAGAAGCCCTGGCCCAGTAAAAGAACTACGATTTGATTGGAATAACGGAGACTTGGTGGGATGACTCGCATGACTGGAGCACTGTCATGGAAGGGTAATAAACTGTTCAGGAAGAACAAGCGGGGAGAAAAGGAGAAGAAGTTGCAATGTATGTAAGAGAGCAGTAGGATTGCTCAGAGCTCCAGTATATAGAGGGAGAAAAGCCTGTTGAGAGTCTATGGGTTAAGTTTAGAAGTAGAAGCAACAGGGGTGATGTTCTGGTTGATGTCTGCTATAACCACCAGATCAGGTGGATGAGGTAGACGAGGCTTTCTTCAGATAACTGAGAGAAGCTTCTAGATCACAGGTCCTGTTTCTCATGGAGGACTTCAATCACCCTGACATCTGTTGGGAGACCAATACACAGTACACAGACAATCTATGAAGTTTCTGGAGAATCTTGGGGATAACTTAGAACATAAGAACATAAGAACGGCCGTACTGGGTCAGACCAAAGGTCCATCTAGCCCAGTATCCTGTCTGCCGACAGTGGCCAGCACCAGGTGCCCCAGAGAGGGTGGACCGAAGACAATGATCAAGCAATTTGTCTCCTGCCATCCCTCTCCAGCCTCTGACAAACAGAGGCCAAGGACACCATTTTATCCCCTGGCTAATAGCCTTTTATGGACCTAACCTCCATGAATTTATCCAGCTTCTCTTTAAACTCTACTATAGTCCTAGCCTTCACAGCCTCCTCTAGCAACGAGTTCCACAGGTTGACAACACGCTGTGTGAAGAAGAACTTCCTTTTATTAGTTTTAAACCTGCTACCCATTAATTTCATTTGGTGTCCTCTAGTTCTTCTATTATGGGAACTAATAAATAACTTTTCTTTATCAGCCCTCTCCACACCACTCATGATTTTATAGACCTCTATCATATCCCCCCTCAGTCTCCTCTTTTCTAAACTGAAAAGTCCCAGTCTCTTTAACCTCTCCTCATATGGGACCCATTCCAAACCCCTAATCATTTTAGTTGCCCTTTTCTGAACCCTTTCCAAGGCCAAAATATCTTTTTTGAGGTGAGGAGACCACATCTGTACACAGTATTCAAGATGTGGGCGTACCATAGTTTTATACAGGGGCAGTAAGATGTTCTGGGTCTTATTTTCTATCCCTTTCCTAATAATTCCTAGCATCCTATTTGCCTTTTTGACCGCCGCTGCACACTGTGTGGAAGTTTTCAGAGAACTGTCCACGATAACTCCAAGATCTCTTTCCTGATTTGTCGTAGCCAAATTAGCCCCCATCATACTGTACGTATAGTTGGAGTTATTTTTCCCGATGTGCATTACTTTACACTTATCCACATTAAATTTCATTTGCCATTTTGTTGCCCAATCACTCAGTTTGGTGAGATCTTCTTGGAGTCCCTCACAGTCTGCTTCTGTCTTGACTATCCTAAACAGTTTGGTATCATCCGCAAACTTTACTACCTCACTGCTTACCCCTTTCTCCAGATCATTTATGAATAAGTTGAAAAGGATTGGTCCCAGGGCTGACCCTTGGGGGACACCACTAGTTACCCCTCTCCAATCTGAAAATTTACCATTTATTCCTACTTCTTGGTACAAGTGCTGAAAGACCCAACCAGAGGGCATGCGCAGCTTGACCTGCTACTCACAAACAGAGAGGAACTAGTAGAGGAAGTAGACGTGGGTGACAACCTGTGAAGCAGTGATCATCAGATGGTAGATTTCAGAATCCTGACAAAATGAAGAAAGGAGAGTAGCAAAATACACACCCTCGACTTCAGAAAAACAGACTTTGACTCCCTCAGAACTGATGAGCAGGATTCCCTGTGATACTTACACGAAGTGGAAAAGAGTCCAGGAGAGCTGACAGTATTTTAAAGAAGCCTTATTAAAGGCACAGAAAGAAACCATCCTGATGCGCAGTAAAAAAAAGCAAATATGGCAGGCGACCAGATTGGCTTACTGGGGAAATGCTTGGCGAGCTTAAACACAAAAAGGAAGCTTACAAGAAGTGGAAACTTGGACAGAGGACTAGGGAGGAGTATAAATATATTGCTCGAGAATGCAGGGGAGTTATGAGGAAGTTGAAAGGACAATTAGAATTGCAGCTAGCAAGTGGAGTGAACGGTAACAAGAAAGGTTTCTACAGGCATGTTAGCAATAAGAGGGGGATCAGAGAGGGTGTGGGGCCCTTACTGGAGGAGGGAGGTAACCTAGTGACAGATGATGTGGGAAAAGCTGAAATACTCAAGGCTTTCTTTACCCCTGTCTTCACAGACCAGGTCAGCTCCCAGGCTACTGCACTAGGCAACGCAGTATGGGAAGGAGGTGGGCAGCCCTTGGTGGAACAAGAACAGCTTAGGAACTATTTAGAAAAGCTAAACACACACAAATCCATGGGTCCAGATTTAATGCATCTGAGGGTATTGAGGGAGTTGGCAAATGTCATTGCAGAGCTTTTAGCCATTATCTTTGAAAACTCATGGAGATCAGGAGAGATCCCGGGTGATTGGAAAAAGGCAAATGTCGTGCCCATCTTTAAAAAAAGGGAAGAAGGACAATCCAGGGAACTACAGACCAATCAACCTTACCTCAGTCCCCAGAAAAATCATGGAGGGGATCCTCAAGGAATCTATTCTGAAGCACTTGGAAGAGGGGAAGTGATCAGGAATAGACAACATGGATTCACCAAGGGCAAGTCATGCCTGGCCAATCTGATTAGCTTCTATGAGGAGATAACTGGCTCTGTGGATATGGGAAAGTCAGTTGATGTGATATACCTTGCAAACGTTTTGATAGTCTCCCACAACATTCTTGCCAGCAAGTTAAGGAAGTATGGATTGGATAAATGGACTGTAAGATAGATAGAAAGCTGGCTAGACCACCAGACCCAACAGGTAGTGATCCACAGCTCGATGTCAGGTTGGTTTCTAGCAGTATGCCCCAAGGATCTGTTCTAGGACCACTTTTGTTCAACATCTTTATTAATTACCTGGATGAAGGGATGGATTGCGCCCTCAGCACGTTTGAGAATGACACTAAGCTAGGGGGAGAGGTAGATACGTTGGGGGATCCAGAGGGACCTAGACAGATTAGAGAATTGGGCCAAAAGAAATCTGTGGAGGTTCAACAAGGACAAGTGCACAGTCCTGGACCTGGGACGGAATCCCAAACCCTGTTACAGGCTGGGCACCAACTGGCTAAGTAGCAGTTCTGCAGAAAAGGACCTGGGGGTTACAGTGGATGAGAAGCTGGAGATGAGTCAACAGTGTATCCCTGTAGCCAAGAAGGTTAATGATGTATTAGGTTGCATTAGGAGGAGCATTGCCAGCAGATCTAGAGAAGTGATTATTTCCCTTTATTCGGCTCTGGTGAGGCCACATCTGGAGTATTGTGTCCAGTTCTGGGCCCCCCACTATAGAAAGGACATGGATGCATTGGAGAGGGTCCAGTGGAGGGCAACCAAAACGATTAGGGGGCTGAAGCACATGACCTAAGAGGAGAGACTGAGGGATTTGAGTTTGTTTAGTCTGTAGAGGTGTAGAGTGAGAGGGGATTTGATAGAAGCCTTCAACATCCTGGAGGGAGGTTCCAAAGAGGATGGAAAATGGCTGTTCTCAGTAGTGACGGATGGCAGAACAAGGAGCAATGGTCTCAAGTTACAGTGGGGGAGGTCTAGGTTGGAGATTAGGAAAAACTATTTCACTAGGAGGCTGGGGAAGTACTGGAATGGGTTCCTTAAGGAAGTGGTGGAATCTCCATCCCTAGAGGTTTTTAAGTCTCGGCTTGACAAAGCCCTAACTGGGTTAATTTAGTTGGGATTCGTCCTGCTTTGAGCAGGGGGCTGGACTCCATGACCTCCTGAGGTCTCTTCCAGCTCTATGAGTCTATCAATTTTAAAGGGCAGCTGGGGGTACGCTCCCAGCCAGGTTACTGAGAGGCACTGGGGGCAGCCCCCACCTGGCCACTGTGGCCCAGCTCCGCTACTGACACGGGGAGGAAGGGGGGGAGGGGGAGGGAGAGGCACGGAATAGGCCCCTGTCTGACCATGGCTGCAGATGCAGCAACCTGGCCCCACAGTCTGGCCCATTATCTGGCCACAAGAGGGGCTGGTGGCAGTCCCAAGCCTACCGTGGCAGGTGGGGGAGGGGAAGCAGAATTGGCTGCAGTGATCCTGGCCTGGTTCCCATATAGCTGCAGCTGCTTAGTCCCTGATAAGTAAGTTAACCCAGCCTCAACTCCCCCCTACCACCTCCAGCCTTGCCTTTTGCACCTCCACATCCTGTCCTGAGCCCCTCATACACACCAAACCTAACTCTTGCACCACCCCCACATCCCTAGCCCTGACTCCCGCACGCACCCACACCAACCCTCTGTCCTGAATCCCCTATACTCCACCTCACACTTACATTTCTTACAGGTACTGTGTATTGCAAGTCCCCCTGCCCTGAAGGCCTCCCACAGCTCCAGTGCTCTTCTATGTTAGGGGAAGTGCTCCCAATTCCCAGAACGTGTGCCCTTACACCAGCTCCAAACCACCCTGATGTAATATCCCCACCACACCCACACTTACACTTTAGCCGCTCGCCTCTTGGGGCGCCCAGTGGGTGTAGCCTCCAAGCCATCAGGTGCCTCATTGCCCCCCAGCATCTTCTTCACACAGATGGGCTCTGCTGCTTGACAGTCCAGACCCTGTGACAGCTTTAGCAGGAGCAACTCTGCTTTTGACTTACGGCCTCGTTTCTTTGGCATTTTCATAGGTGGGGTGGGCACATTCTCTGAGGTCCCAGCAGTCTCCCCATGCCCCTCAGTCTCTGCCTGAGCCAAACACTTGAGGGCAGGTGGTCTCCTTTTGGCTTTACGGCTTCGGACAGGCTTCCTCCTGGGCATGGTAGCTGGAAATCCCCCTTCAGGATGGAGCAAGAACTCCAAACCCAACGTTGGAAGCTCACCTGGTCAAAAAGAAGGGGACCAGATATCAGTGACGTGCAGCTCAGCCCACCATTCACCTCTCCAAACCCAAGGCTGCCTTGTTGGCCACAAGCCACCATTGTGGGGGTGACAGGACACCACTCACCAGCTCTGCAGACACACAGGCCTTTTCTTTGGAACGGGTGGGCACTGACGCTCTCTGGTTAAGCCCAGGTTCCAGCAGCAAGCAGGGCAAGCACACCCACGCTGGCCACACCTGGGGCACTCCTCAGCCATAGGAACCCCTCTGGGGAGTGGGGCTCTGTCCAAGGCCTGTTCAACACCTGTCGTCTGTACTCTTTGAGGGCTCAGATAGCAAGCTGGCTCGGATCATTTCCTGTTTGAAGGGCCTTGCAGAATAAAGGAGCTTTGGGTTATTTTAAAAGAAGAAGTCGGCCCCTGCTCCGAAGGGCTTGGCTGGAGGGCACCAACGGAGCACAGGAGGTGAGCGATGGGCACGTCGAGGCTGCAAACCGCAGAGCCACAGTAACAGCTGAAGAAGCCACGTCACTCCGTCCACAGCACCTCCTGGCCCAGCTGCTGCCCTCCCTAGAGCCAATATCCGCAAGGAGCGCGGCTAGCGGGGAAGCCGGGGCACG